CTTTTTCCATCTCTTTTCTAGAAGTCATTTGTTTTCTTGCTATGTGTAATCATCTGCAGTATTTATTAAGGAGTTATCGTAGGTTTTTGGAACCAATTCTAGGAATTACAGAGTATTCTGATGGAAGATTTGAACCAACACACCAATATTTAACACAGAAGTCGCTCCTGGAACCAGTTAGACTCTGTTATAGAGGTTCTGCTGTATAGTCAAACATTATATTGGCGACATGCAGCGATAGGGAAACAGGCGCCAAGTGCATGTATCAGCCCAGTTTGGGATGGATGGCACATTCATTTGAACCTTTGATTTCAACAGGAAATGTGGAATTTCATAAATTTTGACAACAAAAATGTTCGCAATTATTCATACGTAAAGATCAGAGGATAAATATATATTTTTTTCTCGTCATGACGACAAGTGAGGCTCTGCAGCAGCAGGTAAGCAGGCAGACGCCATCGTTAGGCGTTATAGCGCCGTTGTTAGGGCGCCGTTGTTATGGCGCCGTTATTAGGGCGCCATCGTTAGGGCGCCGTTGTTAGGGCGCCATCGTTAGGAGTTAAGGCGGACCAGCATCCTGCAGCTCCTCCTTCTGACTCGGAGAATGCCGGTGGGAATAAGCGACAGCCTTCAGCCCGCTTCTTCACCCGTCTGAGCAGCAGAGAGCAGCCATTTCCAATCAGGAGGAGAAACCTGATAAACCTTTTAATGTTCCACTTAGATTCTGGAAAAATGGCCGAATTGAATTTTTTTTTAAGCTACAGAAATTAGCTTCTTCTCAAATAAATGCCTCTTACAAACCTCTGACAGGGATTAAAAAGTTTGAATATTCCGGCAATTATTCTTTTTTATAGCATAGAAAGCTGTGGAAACCCGTTTTCTTCTAAGAGTATAACATCTGTCTGTTTCTGAGGAAAGCAAAAATGTTCTGTAATTTTTAACAATTCCACATCATTTTCAGCAGTTTTACTGAGATGCAAAAAATAAAAACTCCAGCTCTGTGGATCCCAGAGGGAAACAGTTCAGAAGCTAGCTGTGAGCTAGCAACTGATGCTAGCAAACAATGCTAATGCACAAAACCGGAGACGTGCACAGAGTAACTCAGCTAAAAGCTTTAGCTAACGTCCGCATGATGATGCTAATCGGGCAGAAAGGAGCAACAACAGCAGCTGGCTGGCTTCATTAGCTAAGCTGCTAGCGTTAGCTGTTGCTAAGGGGAACATTGCTTCCATTTTTACCGAGTATGAGGCTTTAAGGTTTTTTCGGACTTAAGTTTGGTCATAAATTTTAAAAACACAAAAGAGCTGCCATGATGGACCGTTTGGCTCACTGGTTGCTATGGTGACTCCCCCCTTTTTGAGGGGGCACTCATGATGGAATGGTTGCCATGGCGATTCCCCCCTTTTTCAGGGGGTAGCCATGATGGAACGTTTGGCTCACTGGTTGCTATGGCGATTCCCCCCTTTTTCAGGGGGCATCCATGATGGAACGTTTTGCTCACTGGTTGCTATGACGATTCCCTCTTTTTTTAAGGGGCAGCCATGATGGAAAGTTTGGCTCACTGGTTGCTACGGCGATTTCCCCCCTTTTTTGGTGCATTTCCTGGTTCTTATTGAGATGTAGAAAACAGGAACTTGGTCTAAATGTCTCACAGTTTTGTGTTGAGTTTTTAGGACACTTTAGGAAGTGTTGTGGCTTCTCTCAGAGCTCAGACGGGTTCAGAAAGTCGCTTTATTCCTGTTCGTTCTGAGGCCGGCGGCAGCGAGCGTGCACGGCGTGCACGGCGTTACTTACAGATGCAGATCCCGTGTGCTGCGTCGAGGATGAACCCCGACCGACACACACAGCTATAGCTCCCCCT